CCGAGAAATCGGCACTTTTATGATTTCAAACTTCAATCAACGTTAACTCCCGTTTTAGGAGCAAAATTTACATGGGCTAATTGTAAATGAAATGCTTTGAAAGTTGTTTTCGGGAAAAATCATGAACCGACATTTATATCTGTGAAAAACTTTGTTTTTTGGCCGTTTTCTTTCACGCTATGGAGTTTTTTGACGGTCTGTGCTGATAACGAACGGTGACGTCATTCATTAAAGCTTGGATTATGCAAAGTGGGCGGTTCTGTTTGCGAGTAACAAACAATACAGACACGACACTTGGCAGTTGAAGTGTTTGCAAATACAGTGTATTTATTTTTGGGCCGTTGTGTTTGTAAACTTATTAGTTCAAGCATGATGCCACGAGTTTCGAAGTCTCCTGGAGGCAGCTCGTACATACTGGCGAAAGGGTGTACCCGTTACTGGTTGAGGTAACCCCTAATAGCTTGACAGTTTCACCAGAGCGCGCCGTCCCTTTCCAGTCGCTCGCATTCCAATGGCAGCCTTTCTATTTATTTCGAAAACTGCACCCTTCTTTCGGGATGACGGGAAGCTAGGCTGGCTCAGTTCTGATCGAATACAATCTCCTTGCGTGCAAAGAAATTCAAACTGACTGCCTAGACCGTGACGCTTGCGCTCCACTATTGAGATATTGCCTACTTTGCAAAATTGACAAATCTCTTTTTCTAGGGCGCCATTCAACAGTGACATGTCAACGAGTCGAATCTCGCCGTCTTCAAACGATCGGCCGTGACATTCACTCTCACTTTCTTCTTCTACGTCGAATATTTTCCTGCGAGATACAGACATCTCTCGAACGTTTTGAACAGGAGTATCACCCACTATATCGAAGTCTGATTCATCGGACTCTCAGTGTCACGGTAAAACTTTCTTCGCCCACTTCATGGCTGACACTGGTTTCGACGGGGAAATCCGTTCTGTACGAACCCAGCATCGTCTCTTTCAACATCTTTTTTGACAGGAGTGATCATTCTTTTGGCGTTTTTCTTCTTTCTTCCTCGCTTTCTTTTTCTTGGAAATTTTCGCGTGCTTACTATCTCGTCCATAATTAGTGAATGACAACTAAACTAAAGAATTACTGACAACCCTCTCCTTCTTTGCATATTTTGCACATTAATGAAGGAAGCTGCCCTGTTTTTTAATTGGTGTGAATAGAATAATTGTAAAATGTGACCCAGTGATGTATGCCGGCATGTAGCATTTCCTGTGCTATTAAAAATCAAATCCCGCAAAACACGAGTTTTACCGTCGCAGTAACACTGGCCCACTATCCGATGTCAAGACGTCGGCCGGGGGGGGGGGGGCACGCTACTATTTCGTTGCCGTGCATTTTGTTCGCATGAGCACATTAGATAAAACAACCAAGTATTTATCAGACAGATTTATTACATGTAACATAATTTACGAATTTAAAAAAACCTAAGCATGCAAGTATGCCTACTTGGTGAAAACTCCTCTGAAAAATTGATTATATAAACCAGGTCCCAGCATATTCTTATCATTGATCAACCTTTACATGTAGTTTGTGGCCTGTTACCAGAATTTTCATGCAATGCATAGCCACCACAGATGACCGTATTTTATTGTTTGCAACCATATTTTGTAAAAGGGAGCCCCCTGCCAATGTAACTGCATTACTTCTGGACTAGGAAAGTAACCCCGTGGTCAGACACCTTTCAATGACAAAGCCAAGAAAAAATATTACAGAAATTTATTGTAAGTTTTTATTCTGTTAACATATAATTACATTGAAGTGGTACATTCATGTACTTTTTTGTTTATTCAAAATTTGTTGTTCAAAAGCGATTGTTTTGTCTTTGCTATACTTCCTGTCTAGAAAGGCAGCAGTGCACACATCTTATCAGCTGTGTGTAAACTACAAACAGATATCTTATCAGTTGTTTGTAAATAGCAAATAAAGAAAGTGGCTCAACTTAAAACTATTTACCCTCAGTTCAGTTATGTTTGTAAACCATGCATATTAATGAGATGCACTAGTTGGGTGTACACTGGATAAACAAAAACTTGGCCATTTGTTTGCACACAAGAAAAAAGTCAGTTTACTTGTACAAGATATTTTTTTTTCAATAAAATAAAAACACCAATGTATGTAGCATGCCTTAGGGAGCTATTCGTGTGATTTTCAAAAAAAAATGTGAAAAGTGCACAAAAAACTATTCTGCTACCTTAAGTCACTTTCCTTTAGAAAAAAATGTTGCTGTTTTATGGGGCACAGATACGTGTGACTGTCTGATACAGAAAGATATTTAGGGCTGAAATCTAACAACATTCAAGAGATTACATGTCCTGGTCTGTTTCGAAAGACTTGTTATAGTAGCGCCCGAATGCTAGAACACATGTGTGTTGATGTTGAACCGAGCACAAAAATATCAATCCAAACGTTTGAATGACTTATGGTTTGGCTAGCAAACTTGTGTAAAATTGCCCACAATAGCCATTCAAATTGCTCATGATAGCTCGCAACATGATGGTACCAAAATTAAAGCCAGTTTTAGCTTATGTCACTCTTATACCTGTAATGTATTACTAACATTCATTTGTACCATAGATTGATTCAATAAAACCAACATCAATAAAATGTATTATTCAAAGCATTGTCATTGGATGTTTGTCATACTTTGATAAGTGTCACTTAGCCTAAAACCTCAGCCAATTTTATATGGTATTGTCTTTAATACTGAGTGTTCAGCATGTAGAGATTGAGATATGGCACTGTATAAAAAAAAATGAGCTGAGATAGCTCCACTGTTGGCATTGCATATTTTAATTAGAGAATTGAAGATATTATGAAATGAGCATATCTAAGAGAGGTCTACCTGTAGTACCTATATGTATAATATCAAAGCAGTCAGACTTGTGGTTTTTAACATGAAGTTGAAAATATATCACTTTTTACCAAAAATGACAAAATTATTCATAAAATTAGAGAATTAAAGATATCATCATGAAATGTATCAAAGCAATCAGGCTTGTAGTTTTCAAGAAGTCGAAAAAGTTAACACATGACAACGGACAATCACTCGAATGAT